ATAAAGGATCCCTGCTCTGCCTCCTTCGGTCGTGCCCTACTTTTCTTTCACAAGCTCATCATTGCCTTCCCCTAATTCCCCCAGTCTCTCCCCACCCCGTCTTTATTTTGCATCACTTTTCTCTTCCAGAGGAGAACGAGCTGCGGCTCTGTCTTGGTGAGCAGCTTACAGCCCAAGCGCACGTCAACACGTGCACTTGGAGAAGTCAAAAATCCAGTGTCAAGGTGATGTGCATTATTTGCACTCACCATGCCCCGTACCTTTCTGTCCTGTGCTGAGATCGTGTTCCACGTAACAATCTGTCTCGGCCAGCGAGGAACAGAAAGCACTAGTCGTCTTACCCTCAAGGTTTGATTGATGTGATATTGATGTGATGGAGTCGAGATGATGTGGGGACGTGTCTTCAAGAAGAGTCCTTGACTCAGATCCACTCCTTCCTGTCTGCAGCGGGCCGTTTGGTGACGGCTCGGATGTGGAGGGAGGGGCTGAGGGCTGTGTTTATTAGTGTATAGTCAGATTCTTTACCTTATTTCCCTGGGGGGATTAAGGGTTTCCTTCAGAACACCTACATGTAAGAAGGGAGCAGTCTTCAAAATGTACATGATTGATGAGCAGCAGTGGGACTAGCTTACATGGGGCCTCATGTACAAAGAGTGCGTATGCACATAAAGGCTGCAGGGGCCCGATCATCACTGCTGGCACACAAATGAACTTTGATTCTAAACTGACCAGGTGAGACTTCGTCTAAACAAATCATGGGCATTAATAATTAAGGGGTTCAGAGGGTTCGCTTCGGGAAATCCGTACTGAGACCAAGGGACGGACAGGATGAAAAGCCAGAAAGGGTTTACCTCCTGAAAAACTTTGTGACGGACCTGATCTGAACGGTCCCAGGGAGGATCTTTGTTGTGCTGAGTTGAGTACGACCAGTTTGTGATACCAGTCACAACCACTCTCACCGGTGGACAGTCACTGAATGAAGTCTCATTTGATTATTATACTAAAAGCTGAGTAAAACCAGAAGACATCCTGTACATACAACCTAAAATGTAGACCAACTTTGGACTAAATGTGAGAAAAAATAGTCTAGAAATATTTCAACCCCATTTTTCAACAAGTTGTAAGAGAACAACATGTACAGAATATTTCTGACACGAGCGCAGTTACTACAGCGTTGCACCATCTCCTCTTTCAACAACACCATGCAAGCATGTGGAAACAGGGAGGAACACATCCTTTAGTGCTGTCAAGTGTCTTTAGTTTCTAGTTCTCCTCCGTGGCTGTTTCCTGCGGTGTCTGTTAAAGTGGTGCTTGTGCTTTTATTTCTTGTGATCCACCATCTTCTGGTCATGACTCCTGGATTCACACGAGGTGAAAAGAAGGTCCAGTGACAGAATTGTGAAGTTCTCTGTTGGCTTTAGGATTAGGATGCTCTCCTCCACTGAAGGATTTAAGGTGATGTATGCTGCTTAGCTCTACACAAAACATGCACGGGTCACAGAGACTGATAGACAATTATGAATTTACAGAACTTGTGAAGTACTTTTGAAGAACATGAATTGTAGAATGACCGTGCATCAATAGTGTGTCTTGCTGTCATAGCAAAGCCCCAACTAACGGTGCTTCTGAGTTGGTTGCAGTTGTGCTGTAGGTTCTAGGATCTACCTCCAACATCCTGACTACAGAAGGACCAGTAAACCTTAGGAGGGTCTGTTGTACACAGAGCACTCCTTGTTCTGGTATGTCTGGTGAAATGATAATGTCCTATTTTTCCCACCCTTGTCCCGTTTAATTAAAGCTCAATAATCCTTGGACTGGTTCTCCCCTGCAGAACCCCTCATCTTGTTCTCTGTTTCTTCCACCCATCAAGATCAGGTGGCTTTATTAACCACTAAGCTCTTGTCATTTAAGACCGACCCTCACCTGTACATGTACAGTGTATGTGAGTTGATTATATAAGCTCAACGACTCCGCTGTGGTAGCGGTGGACAAATACTGAGTTTAGCTGCTGGAATCATTCGTCCTTCCTGTTCTCCTCTGGGAACAGGAATCTTCTTTGTTTCTCAGACAACCATCTGCTGTTAGCACACCTTCACTGTCAGCAACAAATAACCTCTTCCTCTCCTCAACTCAGCTCTGGAGCTGCCATCTTTACCATTTTAGAAACACTTTCCATTTTCTCTGAATCAAAGAACTGAATAAATGAATGGAAGGCAGCTGTTTACACGGCCCAGCTGCTTTAAACACTACAGCATATCCTTCAGACCAGAAACAATCTTGGAGCCTTTAAGGTGCTTAGGCAGCTCTAACTTTGATCTCAACCACGCTTAAAGAACAAAGGTGGATCTGTTATTACCTGATTACTCAGATAACGGAGTATTTCCTCAACAGAACCAATACTTTGGCCACACTCTGACTATTTAAGTTAATAAAGCTTTTTTTTTTTTTTAAACAAACTTATAATACCACCTCAAGAGCCAGCTTTGGTAAGCCAGGGTCAGAGCGCCAAGGTCCCCGCATTCGGCCACTGCCCATAGCATCATGCACCTGACTTTTATGGCCCTTCCTGCAGGTGGTGGGTCCACAGGAAGGAAAACCCATGCTTCTCCTTTGGGCTGAGCCCGACCGGGCCTCATGGGCAGAGACCCGGTCACCAGGCGCTCACTGACGAGCCCCTCCCCCAGGCCTGGCTCAAGGGTGAGGCCCAGGTAACCCGCGTCCGGGCAAGCAACACTGAGTTCTTTGTTTTGTCCATAAAAATCTTCTGAATTGCTCTTTGTCTGGCCTGTCAACTAGGACCAATCTGCATTGGGAGACCCTACCAGAGACAATTATAATTGCCCTTGACAGCATAGCTCCTAGGATCATTCAGGTGCACAAACTCCTCCACCACAATAAGGTGGCGATTCGGGCATCTGGTAAGGATGCCCCCTGGGCGCCTCCCTAGAGAGGTGCTTTGGGCATGTCCAACTGGGAGGAGACCCCGGGGAAGACCCAGGACACGTTGGAGAGACTATGTTTCTCAGTTGGCCTGGGAACGCCTTGGAATCCTCCCAGAAGAGCTGGAAGAGGCTGTGGAAAGAGAAGTCTGGGCCTCCCTGCTCAAGCTGCTGCCCCCGCGACCCGACTTCAGAACAAGCGGAAGATAATGGATGGATGGATGGAACTTATATGAGCTCCCCCTCCTTGTATACATAGACATGCCCAACTGCTAGAAAAAGAGCCAACTGGACTTCTTTTCTTATTTCTTGAAGTGCTTGCCCTTTCATTCACACAGGTTGCAAATTGTACATTTCACCTCTCATCCAAAGTGAGCAAATCTTTCCACTGTGAACCTTTCACTTTGAGGTACAATATGTTCAAGAACTAAATAAGGTAGTATGTTTCTTCAGAGACAGGATTACTCTGACCTAAATGACGGGGGAGTTACGCCTACAGATAAACTAGATTAATACATGACTATGGAGGGGTTAAACTGTTGGGCTACATAGCTTTTAAGACAACACTGAGCTTTTACCCTCAAGAAAGAACCAAGTCAACTCTAACTTGCTGTCATAAATCTGTAGTTTAACCACTGCACCACCGAGCAGCCTTTTAAGCCATATCTGCTCAGACCCACCAGGTCTTACACAAATTAAGAGCACGACCTATTAGATAAAACAGAAAGGAGTCAGATTTACAGACAGACGTCTGCTGGGACAAAGAACCAGAACCCTCTAACACATGAACTACAGAGAAGGCTGCTGTGTAGCAGTGCCCTCGTGGAGGTAGGCTCCTTCTTGAGTCCACAGCATCTACTCTTGCTGAACAAGAGTCCATACTTCTGGCACAATTCTTAGCTCCCTTTCACAGAAATCGTTTTTCTTTATCTGAAACGTGTTCCACTTGGTATCAGTTTTAAATAACCTAGGCGCAATAGTGGGTTGAAGTTGACCTCTTACATCTCTGAGCCTGCATCAGAGGTAGTCACAGAGCTGAGTTGGTGAGTATGTGTGGCAGAAGACGATGTGAGGAGCTCTACTTTCACTGCTTTGGTTTATACCGCCACCTTTGTGTGTAAGAACAGCCCAGCATGGATCTGCTACACCTCTGAGCCCACATCAGAGGTAGTCACAGGTATAAAGTAGTGGACAGTTTGAGGAGCTCTGCTGTCGTGTGTAAGAACACACCGACACTGACTCGAAACACTCTTGTGTAGCAGGCGTAAATTAACCAAAAATAACACAAGGATGCTGTTTTTCATCGATGCAATGGACCCAGTGGGTCTAAAGTTTCACTGAAACTAGCAGATGTCTGGAGGTCATCTCACACCAAAGTCTTTCTTTGTGTTTACTCCCTTTTCATCAATGTGTCCCCTTTTTTTGTTTCTTCCTCGCTTTTTGCCAATTACAGCCCTAGTATGATCAGCTCCAGGAACACGTAGAACTTTTTAATGGTCTTGAACAGTAGATAACAATCGGAGTCTATAGCAGAACCGTCACAACGCAGCCAGAGGCCAATTACCCACACAGCTGTTCACAACAGTTTCTGTTCAATCAAAACTGGAACGTATGGCTTGACAAGGATTTTTCAACAAAGGTTAATGAATCACGGGGAACCAAGTAAATGCATCTAAAACAGTCTGCCAGTCTTCTGCACAGACAAACTCAAGTTCAGACCCACCACTGTATCCATCAGAAACAGATTCAGATTCTGCACGCTTCCGTCTGCGGGGGTTCCAGGTCTACGGTCAGCTCAGTTTTTAAATTGACACCTTGTTTCACCACGACAGAAGCACTTCACGTGTTGATACAGGAGGAACTCCACTCCCTGTGGGACTCCTTCCACCTGAGTGGAGGCTGGGCAGACAGGTGAGGGGGGCAATTATCGCAGGATAAACAGTTGTATATCCACTTCAGTCTTGTTTAACTTACCTGGGGACAGCATTCTTCCCCCCTCCCTTTGCTTTTCAGGTGGCTAACCTCCCCCTCCCCTCCCAGTCTCAGTCCTCTGCGCTCATCTCATCTTGTACCTATATTTTTATACTGGCACAGCAGAAGGTTTTTGAAAGTCTTCTTGAATGTGGCATTGCAGAGTGCATAACAAGCTGGGTTGATGGTGGAGTTGACGTAACACAGCCAGTAGCCGATGGCCCACACCGTGTCGGGAACACAGGACTGACAGAAGGTTGATATCAGCACCATGACATTGTACGGAGTCCACGTAATGATGAAGGCCAGCAGGATGGCAAATATGGTCTTGGTTACCTGCACAGGAGGGAAGACAACAGAGCAGGAGAGACAGGTCAGGACTAACACAGATTCAGCAGCTGATGCACAACCACTGGGATTTACAGGATTTGTTACTGAAGAGACGAGCAACAGATGAAGCTAATCATGTTAAAGGGATAGTTGAGTTACTTTGTGAAATATTCTGTTCACTAATTATCAAGGACTTTATCCGTCGTGACATCTGATAGAGAGCAAAGAGTGTGGAGAAGAGGCAAACGTCTTCATCCAGACTGGACTAACAAATCATTTTTCTAGCAAACAGCACAGCAATATAAAGAAAGAATCCGCTTTAATGTGGATTAAAGCAGGAAAAAACATTTTGACAGAGACTTTTACTGCACCTAGAGCTGTAAGAGACACGTCTTTTGTTATAATCTGGACGTATAAACATGTCTTTTACCCTATTATAACACTATTGGGGCGGCTGCGGCTGAGTGGTCAGAGCAGACGTCCTCCAGTGCAAGAGTTTGGGGTTCGAATCCACCAGCAGTCACATGCCGAAGTGTCCCTGGGCAAGACACTGAACCCCTCATTGCCTCTGACATGTGTCCCATGAATGGGTCAATGAGGCACAGATTGTTGTAAAGAGCTTTGAGTATCTCGAAAAGATAGAAAGAAAACTCCTGCAGCGGTGCACATCTCTATATCGCTCTCGGAGCTGGAGTTGGGTCCTGTGCGAACACGTTCGATACATAGACGTTTAATAATTTATGATGTCAACACCTTCATGGGGAGGTGGCCGGCTCTGTTAGGATAGTGGGGTGTCCTCCTTGGTTTGCTGCTGGTGAGCTTTCACCTGTCGTCTCTCTCTGCTGCTCACACCTGGGACAGAAGGTCCCGCCCTGCTCTGCTCTGATTGGGTCAAACTGTAGCAGCATCAGTTTAATCCCTGTATGGTTTTAAAAAGACCAGTTTAATCCCTGTATGGTTTTAAAAAGACCAGTTTAATCCCTGTATGGTTTTAAAAAGACCAGTTTAATCCCTGTATGGTTTTAAAAAGACCAGTTTAATCCCTGTATGGTTTTAAAAGACCACAACAAAACGCACGTTTCCCCTCGTCCTTTTTACATACCATACTTTTTCTTCTCGTCACTAAAATGCACCAAAGTCGACTGGAGGAGGAAATTCAATCCAGCCTCACCTGCGGCCGGTTTATCGTGATGAACTCTCCACCTGTGGGTCCTCCCCTCCGTTGCCAGGGGCCGCCACATTTAGTGAAGGTGACGCTGTCAAAACGGAGCTGCTTCCTGCTCTCACTTTGGTGAAAGTCTTTCCTCCATTAAATCCGAGCTGCTCGCCTTTAAGAGGGAAATGTCCTCTAGCCTGTCCGCAGTGCAGGACAGGTTCACTGGGCTAAAAGTTACTGTTGCTGAGATGGGGAATCTCTATCCACCTGTACCGATGACATCACCCTCCAGAACAAAGTGGACTACCTAACTAAAGCTGCGGCGAAGTTAGAGGACAAATGTGATGACTTGGAGTCCCCGTCCCGGCGTCAAAACATCTGCATCGTTGGTGTCCAGAGGACGATCCGTTGTCGGCGCCCACAGCTGCCGTCTCCCGGTTGTTGAAGGAGGCCTTCGGTTTTGCAGAGGAGCCACTGCTGGATCACGTGCACCGTACTCCAGTTCCTAAACCTAAGCCAGATGAGCAGTCTCGTGCCATCGTAGCTAAGCTGCATTACCACACTGACTGTGATCCTGTCGAGGGTGAGGGAGCTTCAGAGGATCAAGGTGAACAAGATGACCGTCTCCGACTTCCCTGATTACACCGCCAAGACGGCCTGAGAGCGTGCTGCCTTCATGGACTGCCGCCGCCAGCTCCGAGGTATCGAGGGGGTCTGGTTGGGCCTGCTCCATCCAGCCCGGCTGCGGATCACTAATGATGGGGTGACATGGGCCTTCACCTCTTCAGAGGAGACCAAAACTTACATTAAACTTACAATATGTATAACCAAGTAAGAGAGATATCATCAGAGGGAACTTACATTTCTGGCTAATACTTCGTTTGAAGTTATTTTTCCTCCAAAAACTTATTCAAATGTATGTGAGCATTGAGCACAGACCATGTTTCTGATGTGGAATGGTTCCGTCCACCAGAAGTCCAGGTAAGTTTTGGTCCGACTAGATGTTCTGCTCAGGTGGACTGATGCACTCGATGGCTGACCACTGTCCATGTTAGCACTCAAACATCTGGACTAAAAATATGTTTAGCTGAGAAAACAGCAACAATCTAAAGAAAACGTGTAGCGGTACATTATTAACTCATGTAGAGAGATTTTACTCCAGCATGTCCTCTTAGAGAAGGAGGGGATGAATCCAGAAACTCCTCGTTAGCTCTTAGCTTAATGGAAGAGACTTCATCCATCCAACCATCCATCCATCCATCCATCCATCCATCCATCCATCCATCCATCCA